AGGGCACCCCCCGCCCCAGCTCCACATCCAGCGCTGCTCTCCTGTTCCCTCGGTCTACTCATATCTTGTAACAAGCCGAATGGCTGCTCATTTTGATCGTGTCCTAGCTGCCCGCCGCCCCCACCCAGAAGGGAATCCTAAGACTCGGATTTTTGTCTGTTCTGTCGTCCAGTTACCCCAGCTCTAAACCAGGTAATGAGTATCATTCCGGCAAATGAATTGCCAGCGCCTGGGAACCAGGGGCTACCTGGAAGGCGAGGTTTCTGGCCCCTCGGACCACACGCATGCACGGTGGGCTTCCGGCCAGGGCTCCAGGGGGACTTCGAGGTGGGTGTCCGCGGCTCTCCGTGTGCCTTGACTTCCTGCTCAGACATCCCCCCGTCCGGGCAGAAAGCTGTTTCTGACACCTCATACCATGAGCAACATTTTAAAGAACCGTAAATTAGTTGCCTGAAGCACAGGGCTGTCCCTCACACACCTTCGGGGAGAAAGGTCCGTCGTGACCAGGGACCGCCCCGCGCAGCTTGCCGTCAAGCCTGCGGCTGCCTCCCCCTGGCCTCCGCGTGCTGGGGAACAGGGCCCCTCCTGCTCCGACCTCGCTGCTCTCCAGGGTCCTCGCAGCCACTCAGCAGGGCCCTGGCCCCTCAGCCCTGACCACCCTTCTGGCACACTCCACGCAGGGGCCCCTGTCAGTCCCTTTCCAGAAGCGTCTAAGCCATTTGGTCAGAGGTGACAGAAGCAACAAGGTCAACATTAGGTGCAGCCATGGATGCTAGAATTTCTCCGTGAGAAATCTGCTGAGTCGAGTGACTGGTCAGTTTTAGCAGAGTGACTCCCACTGTCCAGCGGGCCACAGGGCGCCAGAAGCTGGATGAAGGGCCCCACCAGACAGGACTCTGTCCTCTTCCACCTGCTAGGCTGCCCGCGGCCTGCGGCTCACTTGAAGACCACAAGACAGGCGCCGCCCCTCCCGGGACCGGACAATCTCAGGAGGCCATGTGGACAGCCCAGGGCTCAGCTGCTGGCCCCATATTCTTGTCCTGTGCCTGAGGAGAAACGTTCAGAGGTCAGGAAGCAGCCAGGAGGGGCTGGCACGCCTCTCCCCGCTGGGCAGTGCCAGCCGACTTGGCGGCGGCCCCCGCGTGATGGCCCTGGACACAGAGTTGGGGAGGATGTGCCGTAGTACAGACCACCTTCCCACGACAAATCACTTCAGGAGATGGATAAAGGTGAACTCTAGTGAAACAGCAAGAAAACGATGAAGGCATCCTGACGCCTCCTGAAGGGGGAGTGTGGGTCAGGCCTCACTAGGCAGCGCTCTCCTCCAGGAGGCCATGCAGGCCTCTGTTGTCCGCCCCTTTGTTTCTGAGGTCACCGCGGCCCCCAGGTTCATGTCGGAGCAGGAGTCCGTGAAGAGCAGCGCCGCAGCACCCCGCGGATCATGGCTCTGGGCCCGTCAGCCACCTGGTGTTTGGTTCACGTGACATGTGGTGGCGCTGGTGTGCTGGGTGCTGATGTCAGGAAGGGGTGACCCCTCCCCAGGGAGGGGCCCAGGCCCAGGAGATGAGGTGTGACTTGCACCCTAAAGGAGGGGACGGGGGAAGCCAAGAGGCCCTTGGTGAGCCAGGTGAGGCCCTAGTGTGAATCAACAAGTTTCCTATATTTTAAAGACGAGATTTCACTTAAGAAGCTGGGTTTCGGCACAGCCAGTTAGGCGTCTAACTCTTGATCTCGGCTCCAGTCTTGACCTGAAGACCTCGGGTTCAAGCTCTGCGTTGAGCTCCATGCTGGGCGGGGAGGCTGCTTAAGAAACGCAAGCAAAGGGATCCCTGGGTGGCGCAGCGGTTTGGCGCCTGCCTTTGGCCCAGGGCGCGATCCTGGAGACCCGGGATCGAATCCCACGTTGGGCTCCCGGTGCGTGGAGCCTGCTTCTCCTTCTGCCTATGTCTCTGCCTCTCTCTCTCTGTGACTATCATAAATAAACAAAAATTAAAAAAAAAAAACTTTAAAAAAAAAAAAAGAAACGCAAGCAAGCAAGCCTGAGCCCCATCCACTGACCCTGAGGGCCCTGGCCTGCTCCTCTCTACCAGGCGACACGGAGGGTGTCAGCCGATGCCGGGGTCTCCTTGGCCTGGCGTCCCGGGGCGGGAAGGGCAGGAGCAGGCTCAGAAGGCCCCAGGCTGGGGTCAAGGCAGTGCTTGAGAGGCCGTCCAGGAGGCCCAGGCCCTGGGAGAGTCAGGAAGAGCCACCGCACAGTGACACAGCACAGGCAGCACATGAAGACACCTGGACCAAGTTCCAGAACAGTCCAGGGAGTGGAGCTCAGACGAGCGGTAGCAGGGACAGGGAGGGCGCTGGTCCTAGATCCTGACTCCACAGACGTGAAGGTTCATCCCGTGGTGTCCCACCTCAACGCTTACTGCATGTGCCAGACTCGGCTGGGAAAATTAAAGAAGGAAATGGGGGGGTGGGGGGCTGCGGCCCCCGGTGAGCCGGGCTGCTGGACATGTGGCCCAGCCATGGAGCCCCGACATCCTCAGGGCCAGGAGAGAACCTGCTTCAGAGCAGAGGCCAGCGCAGGCCGGACTGGAGGGGGCGGGGGGGGGGCGGGAGGGAGGGATGGGCCGGGGTGGGGAGTCACGGAGGGTCGCCCTTGGGTGCCGTGCTGTGCATCTTCCTCCCGGGGACAGGCTATCCCACGCCGCGGGCCCCTCGGCCTCCCCCAGCCCGGCTTCCCCATCCTCACCGTCCTAACCCGGGCACCGTCCGCAGGGGCCCAGGGGGCACGTGGGGGTTAGATGTGGGATGAAGGCGCTCGGAAAGGCCCCCAAGACACGCTCGCACTGTTCGTGGGGGCTCTCAGGGAGCCTGACTCATCCTCCAGTCTTCTTCCCAGCACCCTGAGGGGGCAAACGTCACTGTCCCCACTTTACAGGTGGGGAGACTGAGGCCCTGGCAGTCAGCTGAGGAGAAGCAGATGGGCGGCCCCCTCGCCAAGTGGGGGGAGGGCGAAGTGTCCTGTGTCCCGGAGCCCCCAGGACTGGGGTGCGGGCCAGCAGCACGGAGAGGGGGCCCCAAGCAGTGCGTGAGCGGCTGCGGGTCCACGCTGCCCCGTGTATCCGTGCTCAGGCAGCCGCCGGCCCGGGACCGGAACTCGCGCCCCAGAGTGCCGAGCTGCACGGCGTCCGTGGGGCCAGCACGCACACAGGTGCGAGGTCTCGGTGCCCAGAGCTGTGATCCGGAACTGCGGCACCGCCCGGCCTCCCGAGCTTGTGTGGGGTGGGCAGCCCTCGCCGGCCGCTCAGAGTGGAGCAGCGTGTGGGGCAGCTGCCGAGCACCGGCCCCCCAAAGACGGCTTTAGGCTCAGACTCCGAGGTGAGGACGCCCCGGAGAAGTGCTGTGAAGGCAGAGGACAAAACTTTTGCAAAGGCCCTGTGGCCGCTCGGAGTGCGTGCCAAGGGCACGTGGGAGGGCCACAGGCCTTGGACACTGATGGGCAGAGAGGGGCAGGGACAGGCCACCAGAAAAGCCTCCTCCAGCCACGGGGGGTAGTGGGTGGATCAGGTCTCCAGGAACTTTGCGGTGGGGGTGGGGGCGGGGGAGCTGCGCTGCCTCCTGGTGAGAGCGCTCCGGGGTACAGGGGTCTCCAGGGCCCATTCTTGCCTGGGACAGCAGGGGGTCTGCGAGGGGCTGGGGGCAGCCGTGCAAGGAGGCCCCGGCCCCAGGCGACATGCCCTACGCCGGAAGGTAGCGGGGAGCCGAGTGGGGCGCCCTGGGGGGCAGGCCTCATGGGGTTCCTCTGGGCCTGGCCAGTGACCCGGGGGCCGACGACCTGGGCAGGTCAGGCCGGGTCTCACAGAGCAGGTCCATGAACCCCCACCCTCGAGCCGTTCTATGGTGTCCGGAACACGACGCATCCCCGTTCCCAAGACGCAGCCTCTCAGGCTGATGGGGGAGTCGGGCTGCTCAGAGTTCCGCCTTCGCCCTTCATGCAGCTGCCCCCCCACTCACCCACCCGCCAGGGTGGCTCTGGACCTCTGCAGTCCCATGAGTGTGTACGTGTTGGGGGGAGTGACAGTTCACACCCACCTGCTGCTGTGCCCCCAGGTGCTGCTGTGCTCCCCAGGTGTGCGTGGGGGGTGTGGCCACATGCTCACAGGTGTGCCCCCAGGTGCTGCTGTGCTTCCCCAGGTGTGTGTGGAGGTGAAAGTGGCCACAGGCTCACAGGTGTGCCCCCAGGTGCTGCTGTGCTCACCCAGATGTGCGTGGAAGGGGAGGTGGCCACAGGCTCACAGGTGTGCCCCCAGGTGCTGCTGTGCTTCCCCAGGTGTGCGTGGAGGGGGACCACAGGCTCACAGGTGTGCCCCCAAGTGCTGCTGTGCTCCCCAGGTGTGGGGGGGCCATAGGTTCACAGGTGTGCCCCCAGGTGCTGCTGTGCTTCCCCAGGTGTGCGTGGAGGGGGACCACAGGCTCACAGGTGTGCCCCACGTGCTGCTGTGCCCCCAGGTGCTGCTGTGCTCCCCAGGTGTGCGTGGGGAGTGTGGCCACATGCTCACAGGTGTGCCCCCAGGTGCTGCTGTGCTTCCCCAGGTGTGTGTGGAGGTGAAAGTGGCCACAGGCTCACAGGTGTGCCCCCAGGTGCTGCTGTGCTTCCCCAGGTGTGCGTGGAGGGGGACCACAGGCTCACAGGTGTGCCCCAGGTGCTGCTGTGCTCCCCAGGTGTGCGTGGAGGGGAGCGACAGGCTCACAGGTGTGCCCCAAGTGCTGCTGTGCTCCCCAGGTGTGCGTGGAGGGGAGCCACAGGCTCACAGGTGTTGCTGTGTTCCCCAGGTGTGCATGGAGGGGGGGCACATGCTCACAGGTGTGCCCCAAGTGCTGCTGTGCTCCCCAAGTGTGCGTGGAGGGGGGCCACAGGCTCACAGGTGTGCCCCCAGGCGCTGCTGTGCTCCCCAGGTGTGCGTGGGGGGGTGTGGCCACAGGCTCACAGGTGTGCCCCGCAGGTGCTGCTGTGGTCGGCCAACAAAGTATTTGAGGAGCTGACGGACATCGAGAGGCAGTTCCACAAGGCCTTCTACACCGTGCGGGCCTACCTGAACTGTGACCGCTACTCCGTGGGCCTCCTGGACATGACCAAGGAGAAGGTGAGGCCCGCGCTCCTCCTGGCGCCGCACCGCCGCAGTGCTGCCTCACTGACCGTCCGTCCCTCCTGTCTCTGCTCAGGAATTCTTTGACGTGTGGCCTGTGCTGATGGGAGAAGCGCAGCCGTACTCGGGCCCACGCACACCCGATGGCCGTGTGAGTCCGGGAGGAGGGGCAAGGCGCAGCCTGAGCAGCGTGGGCGTGGGAGGTGGGGACAGGGGTGGCGGGCTGGCTGGGACCCGACCCCTCTGGAGGGAGGGAGGCTCTGAGTGCTTGTGCTGCCCCCTGGCTCCAGCTGCTGCTCGGGGGCGCGAGGGGGGGGCTGTTCTCCAGGGGAGGGTTGTCAGCCTCGCTGGGACGACCAGCATCTGTCCTGTGTCCTACCCTGAGTCCCTGTAGCAGCTCCGTGAGGAACCGTGTAGACGTGTGTGCACGCACGTGTACCTGTGCACGAGAGAGGCGGGGTGAAAAGGGCATGGAAGCGTGGGCGGATACCTCTGCCACTTACTGTGCGTCCAATCTGCAGGACACTACCCCGCCCGGCCATGCCTCAGTGTCCCCACCTGTCCCATGGGGGCGGTAGCTGCCTTCCTCACAGCACCGTGTGCCAAGGGTGTAGAAGAGGCCCTGCACGTGGCGTGGCTGTGACCATGACCTGCCACGGTTGTGTGTGTGTACAGTGGGCCGTGTGTGTGAGTGGGCCGTGTGTGTCCATGTGAAGGGGGAGGGGGAACCAGCTTGTGTGTGGGCTTGAGCGGGACACAGAACGTGCGTTTGTCCCACGAGCGTCGGGGGTGGTCTGCGTGTGTGGTCGTATGTAACGGCGTGGGCGCGTGTGTGCACTTCCCTGTGTGCACGTGCAGGTTGTGAGTAGCTGTGTCGGTGAGGTGCGTGCGCACGTCCGGGCGGGCACTGGGGGGCCCCTCCCCTCCGGGGGCTTCCCTCTGCAGCCTTGCCCGGGGCCGCTCACCACCGCGGCGGTCCTTTCACAGGAAATCGTCTTCTACAAGGTCATCGACTACATCCTCCACGGCAAGGAGGACATCAAGGTCATCCCGTAAGTGCCAGGATTTTACGAGAAGCGCCAGCGGGGGCGGGCACCCCAGACCCCTGCTGGGTGGGCCTCGGGAAGTCACCACATGGATTCTTCAGCCTTCCAGGGGTGCTCCCTCAGCTGTGGGGCGCGCAGGACGGGGGAGGGAGGGGGGGAGACACCGTGACGGCCAGGGTGGACCTCCAGGGGCCCAGGTGAGCCATCCAGGTGGCCCTGCCAGCAGCAACTGACCTTTGCATCCCTCAGGGTTGCTTCTTAGCTCACCCAGCCACGCAGGCCGGGGTGGGGGGGTGGGGGGGGCAGAAGGCACGGCCCGTAGGGCGGGAGGGGAGGGGAAACCCGTCCCAGAAGGAACGCGGCTGGGTGGGGGGCAGGGCCGGGCTGCAAACCAGCGAGACTGGGGAGAGCTGCTGGCCATGTGGCCCCAAGACCCCACGAGCCTGCGAGGACCCCACCCTGCAGGTCCCACGAAGGGACTGGGCTCCCGGGGGCAGGCCGGCGGGCCAGGGGACCAACGCTGAGCTCCAGGCGCTCCTCCAGTGGGAGGGGGGCTCCGACAGGCTGAGGGGCCTCCGTGTAACAGAGGCAGGACGAGCGGCTCAGACACCCCAAACCTCACCCTGCCTCCTCCGAGTCTCCCGGGGCACGGCCTGCGAGCTTTCCACCGCCCCGGAGCTCTGGAAAGGGAATACAGGGACACCCAGAGCCCTGAACCGCAGCCCGGCCCGACGCCCTGCTCTCCCCGCAGCTCGCCCCCCGCCGACCACTGGGCCCTGGCCAGCGGCCTTCCGACCTACGTGGCAGAAAGCGGCTTTGTGAGTCTGGGGGCCCCGCCCGCCCCGCCCGCCGCCTCCGCCGCGGAGGGCGCGCCAGGCAAGTAGTGTCCCCATCCTCTTCCAGATCTGTAACATCATGAACACCGCCGCGGACGAGATGTTCACGTTCCAGGTACGTCCCCCTCCTTGCAGAACGCGAGTCGTGCTGGGCAGGAAGACGCTGTGGTTCCGCAAGGCTGCACTGAAGCAGCGTTTGCTCCTTAAGAAACCACCTCCAAACCTCCGGGGCCAAGGCGGCCCCGCATGCCCCACGGTGTGGGTGGGTGCGCTGGCTGCGGTGGGTGCGCGGCCCGGCTGGAAGGGGCCTCCTGTGGGGCCGGCTCCTCCGGGCAGGGCCCGAGTCAGCGGGGCCGCGCCACTGGCCTTGGTCTCCAAGACCTCTCCCGGGACCGGCCAGGGCTCTGGGGCCGCGAGTCGGGAACAGCTGCACCACTCGTGGGGCCGGCAGAGGGACGGCAAGGCCCCGCTCCCGAGGACTGAGAGCGTTAGGGGCAGAGGGCCAACCGGGCTGGAGCCTTCGGAGCCAGGGAGCCTGCGTGACCGCGGGACCCACGCCCCGGAGCCACCTGCTGGGCACGCAGCCTCAGCTGGGGCCCGTGGGAGAGGTCCCGGCGCAAACCCCCAGACCCGGAGCTCCCGGCCACGGGGTGGAGGCGGGGGTGCCGAGCCCACAGGAACCCTGAGCCCTCACCGCCGCTTGGGGACAGAGGACATCGCTCATGCCCGCTGGGTGACGGGCCGGGCCGCAAGCAGCGTGGCGGGCACCCCGACGCCTCTCCCTGCAGGAAGGGCCCCTGGACGACTCAGGCTGGGTCATCAAGAACGTCCTCTCCATGCCCATCGTCAATAAGAAGGAGGAGATCGTGGGGGTTGCCACGTTCTACAACAGGAAGGACGGGAAGCCCTTCGATGAGCAGGATGAGGTCCTCATGGAGGTAAAGCGCGACCCGGGGCGGCCCTGGGGGGGGACACGGGCACAGCGGGGGAGCCCTCGCCGCCTTCTGCCTGCGGCCCGAGGACGTGCCCATGGTGGTGGCACCGCCGCTCTGTCTGCAGTCCCTCACTCAGTTCCTGGGCTGGTCGGTACTGAACACCGACACCTACGACAAGATGAACAAGCTGGAGAACCGCAAGGACATCGCCCAGGACATGGTCCTGTACCACGTGAGATGCGACAAGGACGAAATCCAGCTGATCCTGGTACCACTCCTGTCGCCCACGGCCCCTTCTGCCCAGAGGGGAGGCAGGCCGTCCCGCGGGGGGGGGGGGGGCTGTGGTCGAGCCCCGAGCCCCCCTGGCGGCCCAGGGGCTCCGCGCAGCCAGCGGCTGTCCCTTCCCTGCGTCCTGGGCCCGAGCGGGTGGCGGTCATCTGCGTGCAGGCCTCCCGCGGGCGTCGTCCGTGTGCCGGGGAGGTCGGGACGGACTCAGGGAAGGGCAGCCGCTGCCTGCACCGTCACCTACCTCTGAGGCTGTGGCTGGGGCTTCCAATGGGCTTGTGCCAGAAGCCACCTTGGGCCCCCAGGAGGGGCACAGGGGGCGCTGTCGCCCCGTCCCCGCCACGAGGGGCACCATCCCCCCTCAGGGGCCCCGTACCCCCACAAGGGGCCCTGTCCCGCCCCCAGGAGCCCCGTCCCCATCATGAGGGGCCCCATCCCCCCAGGGGCCCTGTCCCCCCCCACAGGGACCATTTCCCCCCCAGAGGCCCCGTCCTCCCCCAGGGGCCCCGTCCCCCCCACGAGCGGGCGGCTCACTCAGTCTGACCGGCCCCCTTCCCCCCTAGCCAACGAGGGAGCGCCTGGGGAAGGAGCCTGCGGACTGTGAGGAGGATGAGCTGGGAACACTCTTGGTCAGAATCTGACCCCCACCCCTCAGGTGGACCCTGGAGGCCCGAGGGGCGGGAGCCCTCCCCATCCCGGGGAGCTGTGTGCCTGGGGTGTCCCCGCCCCTGCTGTCCTGGTGGGGCCGGGGACCACAGGCACGTGAGTGTCCCCCCCGCAGGAAGGGCAGCTGTCCCCACGCTCCCGGGGCGTCTGAGGTGCACAGAGGATGCTGGGAGGGGCACAGCCCAGCCTGCCCCCCTCAGCCCGCCGTCCCCCCACAGAAGGAGGTGCTGCCGGGGCCAAGCAAGTTCGACATCTACGAGTTCCACTTCTCGGACCTGGAGTGCACGGAGCTGGAGCTGGTCAAGTGCGGCATCCAGATGTACTACGAGCTGGGCGTGGTCCGCAAGTTCCAGATTCCTCAGGAGGTGGGGGGCAGGGCGAGGGGTCCCAGGTCCGAGCCCCAACAGTGGGGACGAGTGGTCAGAGGTCCGGGGCCAGCAGGGCGCGCACAGGTGCCCAGAGGAAATGCAGGACGAGGGGATGTGTGGGCGCAGGTGGATGGGGGTCGGTCGCGGGCGTCCCAGGCCGCCAGGTGAACACAGAGAGCCCCTCGGAGCACCCCCCCCCCCCCCGCCTCCACCTCACTCTCCAGGGAGCCCGCTCCCCCCCCCCCCCGCCCCGCCCAGTGAGGAGCAGAGCAGCCTGCCTCGCGCTCCCCTGGGAACGGGTGCACGCTGGCGGCCTCAGAAGCCACTTCCCTACATACTGAAGGGAAACACAAAAGATACAAGTACAGAAATTATTAATAGAATTGCTTCGATTTCAGAATCCTTTTCTGACCCTCAAAGTCACCGAGGACGCGTTATTGCTTCTCGCGGCGCCCGGGCCCCAGCCGGGGTCACACACACACACACACACACAAGCCCACGCGCGGTGCCTGCGGGGTGCTGTCACACCCATCCGGGCCCTAGAGCCTGGGCCTCAGCGGCCCCGCAGACCTGCGCCCCCGTGCTCAGCCCGGCCGGCCTCCCCTAGGTCCTGGTGCGCTTCCTGTTCTCCGTGAGCAAGGGGTACCGGAGGATCACCTACCACAACTGGCGCCACGGCTTCAACGTGGCCCAGACGATGTTCACGCTGCTCACGGTGCGCGGCCGGCTGGCGGGCGCCCTGCAGGGGGGGGCCCCGACCCCTGGGGCGGGCGGAGGCGGCGAGCCGGTGCCTGTGTCCGCAGACGGGCAAGCTGAAGAGCTACTACACAGACCTGGAGGCCTTCGCCATGGTGACGGCCGGCCTGTGCCACGACATCGACCACCGCGGCACCAACAACCTGTACCAGATGAAGTAGGCGCCGGGGCGGGGGCTGCGCGGAGCTCGCGCCGTGGGAAGCACGGGGGCGCCCCCAGCCCGCTGCGGGCCTCTGACCCAGCCAACCTCCGCCGCAGATCCCAGAACCCCCTGGCCAAGCTCCACGGCTCCTCCATCCTGGAGCGGCACCACCTGGAGTTCGGGAAGTTCCTGCTCTCCGAGGAGGTCCGTGTCGCCCCCGCTCAGGGCAGGTCCCGCGCCCCCGGCCCAGCGACGACAGCACAGGGCTCCGAGCGGCCTCCGAGGCCCGTCGGGGGCTGCAGTGGGGTCAGGGCGGGGGGGGGGGTGCACCCCAGTCTCAGGCAGCGGTGGAGGCCGAGCGCCTCCCAGCACCAGCCCGAGGCCACCTGGGTCCCCTGGGCCCCCCGGGGGCAGTGCCACGACCTGGGGTAGAAGCCGGCCAGCAGCCCGACAGGGACCCACGGGCGGACCCGGGAGGGGGCAGACCGGCCCGCCCGCGCGACCAGAGCCCTCCCCGCAGACCCTGAACATCTACCAGAACCTGAACCGGCGGCAGCACGAGCACGTGATCCACCTCATGGACATAGCCATCATCGCCACCGACCTGGCGCTCTACTTCAAGTGGGTGCCCCCCCCCCCGCCTCCCTGTGGGGGCGGCCAGGAGACGCGGGGAGCTGCGGTGGGGAGCAGGGGCCGCACAGGTCTGGGCTCTCTGCCTCGGTTTCTCTCCTAGAAGGGTGCTTGGGTGAGGGTCGAGGAGGAGGAGGGGGCGGGGCGTAGACTCTCTTTGTTCTTGGGGTTCAGGAAGAGGACAATGTTCCAGAAGATCGTGGATGAGTCTAAGAACTACGAGGACAGGAAGAGCTGGGTGGAGTACCTGTCCCTGGAGACGACGCGGAAGGAGATAGTCATGTGAGCAGTGGGGGCGACAGGAGCCCCCCCCAGCTGGTCGATCTCAGACGTCCCCCCACAAAACTAGAAGACCCCCGGCCCTGCCCGAGGGGGCCGCAACAGAGCAGCTCGTCTCTAAACGGCTTTGCTAAAGCGTCAAGCCAGCGCTCCATCTGCCCTGCTCCTCCTCCTCTGCGGGGGACAGGACAGGACTGGGGGTCAGACGGCCCATTTCCTTAGCTCGTGACCTTGGCAGTGATTTCCTCACTTTATGAACCTCCACTGATGCGCCACGAAACGGAGATTCAGGACTCGGGTCCCGCTGCAGGCCTGCCCCCGAGGTCCACAGGGAGGCTGCCTGATAAATAGCTGGTTGCCGGGGTGGGGGGGAACACGAGGGTGGGGCCTGCAGTGGGGGGGAGTGCGAGGTGGCCGTGGAGGGGTGGGAGGGGGCCAGCAGCGCCCTGGAGCTTCATCTGCCCACAGGGCCATGATGATGACGGCGTGTGACCTGTCTGCCATCACCAAGCCCTGGGAAGTCCAGAGCAAGGTCAGAAGTCATGCAGGGTCCCTGCCTCTGGAGACCACAGGGAGAGGAAGCCTGTGGGGTGGGAGGGGAGGGCAGGGGTACAGAACCTTCTCTTGCAAGTAGCCCCCGAGGCCTCCAGCCCTGCCCCACCCCCGCTCCAGGGCTGGCTGGCGGCCACACTGGGAAGTGCCAATAAGCATCCTGTGCACTAGGCCCAGCCTGAAGAATTGGAGCCCCAGAGGGCCTGGGACCAAGGAGACCGAGGGCAGAGGAGGGCAGGAGCCTCTTTCCTCAATTTCTGACCAAGCACTGAACCCCCCCCAAGATGACTGCCTTTTATGCACCCACCCCCCAAGGTTGCTCTGCTGGTGGCGGCTGAGTTCTGGGAACAAGGGGACTTGGAAAGGACAGTTCTGGATCAGCAGCCCATTGTGAGTGTTACTTCCAGAATCTTCTACCCCACCGGGCTCCTTGGGAACCTCGGGCTTCGCTTGGTGCAGAGGACCCCTGGGGACTTGGGGTCGGAGACCTCAGTCTCACTTTGTGGGGTTGGTCACATGACACGAGGTGGGTGTGAACTTTGATGGCTCGAGATCTGGGTAGGGTGTAGACCCCGACCTAGGGTCTGCAGGAAGCTGTGGTGTCCGGGCAGAAATGGAAAGTCCTTGTGAGAGTGGCCCGAGCAGGCTGTGCCGTGAGGCTCGGGCAGGCTGGGGGCTGCTCCGGGAAGGCCTGGCCCGGGGACAGTAGGGTGCCAGGGAAGGCCCGTGGCCGGGGCCCAGCCCACACAGGGGACAGACGAGGCTGATGTCCTTGGGTCAGCAACATGGCTCGACTGGGCTGCTGGACCACTGCGGCCTCGGCGTGGACTGGTACGGGCACAGCGCCGTCCACGCGGCCTCGGCGTGACCCAAGGGCACAGGCACAGCACCCCGCCGTCCAGGGCCGGCTGACCTCAGGTGGAGGCTCTGGGGCCAGGGCCAGACCGAGGGTGGCTCCCAAGGACCAGGGGCTCGGGTGCAGGCAAGTAAGGGGCCTTGCCCGGTGGCCCCGAGCGGGGAGGGCGCCCCCGTCCAGGCCCAGCGCCATCGGGAGGCTCAGCCCCAAGCAGAGGCTCTGCCCTCACCCCGTGGACACTGTGCGCCGGGGCTGCGAGCCGGGCCGGGGCCGACTCCTGCAGGCTCAGAGGAGGTGTCTCTGCTCCCCCACAAGCCGATGATGGACCGGAACAAGGCAGCCGAGCTCCCCAAACTACAGGTTGGCTTCATCGACTTCGTGTGCACGTTCGTGTACAAGGTGAGCAGCGTGCATCGGGGTCACAGGCGGGCGGCGCGGGCTGGCCCGGGGCCTGACCTGCCGCAGCCCCACCTCCGCCCCCGGCACTTAGACCTGAAAGCCGCAGCGTCACTCCAGCCGCTTCCACCCTCGGGAAGGGCCGCCGCTCATCGGGAGGCCTCACCCCAAGCCCCATCTAGGGCCCCCACGCGTGGCCTACACATTTTCAGGGCACAGACTGCAGTTTGCCTGCAGGCACACGCGTTCACGGCTGTGAGGCCAGGACAGGGAGGGCCGCCTGCCACAGCTGGGAAGGCCTCTCCCGACCAACAGGTTGCACACTCGAGGTTGACAGTGGACATGAGCTGTGACCTCGCAGTCGAGAGGACGCTCGGGGGCGTGCCGGGGGGCCGGGTGCAGAGCCCTCCCACGTGATGCCCTACGTGGCCCTGGGCTCCGCGCCTTCTGGCCCTGGCGGCTGCAGGGACCCACACTGTGACCGAGGGGTGGTCTGGTGCTGAGCAAAGTCACCCCTGACTGGGCAGGCCACGCCCCACCTCGACCACCGCGCACCCCAGCTCCCTTTGCTGCCCCCTCAGCGGGGCTGTGAGCGCTGGGAAGGAGGACGGGACCAGGATGTGCATCCCAGTCCTGAGGTTGCAGGTCACGGCCCCACCACAGCGCTCCCCCCACCCCTGCCTTCCCAGAGTCCGCCCGCCCACTCCATGTGCACGCACGCACACAAGTGTGATGTAGGACACCAGAGAAGGAGCTGCAAGACCTGCACGTCTGCCTGAGTCTCCCCGGGACCCCCCTTTTGCCGTTGATGTGCCTTCTGCATTCTCGGGGTCCTTGCTCGGCTGTGGCCGTCCGCGCCATGGGCACTCACACCCTGCAGCTCCCCGTCCCCTCCTCCCTCCCAGGGCTGTGCTGCGAAGTGACCCCTCAGTGGCCTCCCCTTCTCCCTCAGGCAGCCCCCTGCCCCGGGGTTTCCTCCCGGGGGAGCGAGGCAAGGCGCTGGGGGGCAGGCTGGTTTCAGCAAGGGCCAGGCCGTGGGGCCGCCACCTGCCCCCCCTGCCTGGGAACGGTCGAGAGGTGTGGTTCGACCTCCTGATTCTGTGTCCAGGAGTTTTCCCGTTTCCACGAAGAGATCCTGCCCATGTTCGACCGACTGCAGAACAACAGGAAGGAATGGAAGGCCTTGGCTGATGAGTACGAGGCCAAGCTGAAGGCCCTGGAGGAGGAGAAGCAGCAACAAGAGGACAGGACGACAGCCAAGAAAGGTCTGGGCCGCAGGGGTGGGCACGGGTTAGCCTCCCGCGGAGCGTGTAACAGGACAGCAGGGCAGCAGAGGCGAGCCTGGAGGCAGGCTGGTGGCCCGCGGCATGGGGACCCTCAGGCGTGGGCCCGACGAGCGGGAACAGGGAAGAGCCCCAACGTCCGACCGCGTTTCCTCCAACCAAGTAACTGAACGCGGCTTCCGCTGCAAAGGGGGAGGGGAGCCCGGCAGACACAGCCCCACAGTGGCCGCCGCTCCCCACTAACCCGCTCAGAAAAATCCACCTCCCCACTAACCCGCTCAGAAAAATCCACCGGTAACGTCCATGCTGCCCTCAGAAACCGGTGGAAGACCGAAGGGCGCCCGAGTGGCTCCGGCCGTGACCTCGGGGTCACATGCAGCAGGGAGCCGGTTGGCGCCCCCGCCCCGCCTGTGCACACACGTCCTGCGCCCCTCAGATAAACAAAATCTTTTTTAAAAAGCGGAACATAAGACCTGTAAGTGAGCTAGGAGTCGGGCGCACGGGACACACTTCCCCGGCCCGCGTCACAGGTCTCCGGGGCTGCCGCTGCGGGCATGTGCTTCCGCGGCAGGGTCGCGGCCCCCAGGAACCCGATGGAGCTGCCCTGGCACTCTCGGGAGGAAACGCACGTGAACAGGGCTTCGGGGCTGTGAGGGCCGGAGCTGACGGGTCACGGGAGCGAAGGCAGGAAGGGCCGAGGCCGGGCAGGCTAATCGGCTCAGGCGGGCACCGGGCTGAGGACGCCAGGCCGTGCACACCCTCCCCTCACCGACCCGTCTCTCTCGCAGGGGGCACAGAGATTTGCAATGGTGGCCCCGCACCCAAGTCTTCCACCTGCTGCATCCTGTGAGCTGCTCCCAGGTTCGGACGGCGCCCCCGCCTCTAAGGGTTTGCTACACGTTAGGAAGCCCCAGAAAATGACTAAAGACAATTTTGGATATTTTGAAACTTTTTTAAGGTGTTTTTATAAACTCAACTATGAATAAAGTTTAGTGTACCTCACGCTCAGCCACCTTCCGAGTGTCCCACCGCTTGCCACGGGGAGCCCTCTGGAAAGGGGCTGTGAACTGTGCGTCCGCGAGGGCTGGGTGGGAACGCCAAGCGCACGAGTACTTATGTGTACCCGGGTAGACGAGATACGTGCGTGCCGCTGCCAACCTGGCTTAGGAGGAACCCTGACCAGAAACTCGGAATAAAATAAAAACAAGTTGTCCTTTTCTTCAATACGACAGAGATTCTGGTGGACAGCACATCACGCGTGACCCACCGGAAAGTTCTGCCAGAAGGTCAAGGCCTGAGTGGAGGAGGGGTCACAGGCCTGACCTGAGCACAACCCCTGCACAGCCCTCTGCACAGATCGCCTGGCATTGCCGAGTCCCGTCCAAGCGACGGCTTCGTGCTCATGACCCAGCACGGCCAGACCCGACCAGGACACAGGACTCCTGTGCGATTCAGACGCTACTTTCCTGGGAGAAACTCGGGACTTTTAACCCCAAAGCATTGGTTCCCCTGACCCTGAACACTGAACCCACAGCAAGCTGCTCTCAGCTGCACGATCTGACGCCTCCAGAGTTCCCGAGCTCCCGGGCAGGTGGGGGGACGGGGAGGAGGCAGGTCCCTTCTCGGCAGGGGCTCCTGGGGACACCCTGCCTGTGATCAGGGCCAGGCCACCCACCAAGCGGACGGCACCAGCCAAGCACTGTGGGAGCGGCCGGGCTCCCCCAACCTTCGCCCTAAGACCAAGGCTTTCAAGCGCTCACATGCTGCTCCTCCTTCCCCTCACGTTTGCAAATGAATCCATTTTTCTATCAAAATCTGGCTCAGGGACAGGGATGTGCTCCAGACCTGGGCTGGAAAACAGCATATTCCACCCGCAGGCCTCAGAGGCTGGAAGGAGCACGGCCCGGGGGCAGAGGGGCAGAGGGGCAGGTGCGAGAGCCCAAGCCCACCAGAGCCCGGTCCATTGGCCACGTCTTCCCCAGGGCCGGGGGTGGGGGTGGGGGTGGGGGGGGCTTCCCGACAAGGAGACAAAGGGCATCAGGCCGCCTCCCAGCCCCCCAGCCCGGCGCCCGTGCTGCCCCCCAGGGGTCTGCGCCAGGCTCAGTGAAGACCCAGCAGCACCCACAACACCCGAGCCGGCTGTGTCTGCGCCAGCTGCTCCCGTGGGGGCGCCCCAGCCGCGCACCCCAGACAAGCGACGGGATGGTGTCCCCGCCCCTGCACCCCGCACCCCGCGTCTTCTAGAACCCGCTCCCCGTCGCCAGGCCGCACACACCGAAAACGGAGAGCGGCAGCCGAGCCTGAGCCGGGCAATCAGACAACCGGAGACGGCGCGGGCCAGCATCGCACGGCACAAAGCCTTTATTCGCGCGCCGCTCCGGGGCAGGGCGCCTCACTTCAGGATGCTGTCGTCTCGGGCTGAAAGGGCGGAGGGGAACGCCGCGTCAGGGCGCCGCCACCGCCGCCACCGCCGCCACCGCCGCCACCGCCGCCAGGCGGTCCACCCGGGCCGCGCCGACCCCGCGCCCAGCAGCCGCGGCCCCCCCCGCCCCCCCGGGAGCCCAGGGCCCGCGGCGCCCGCACCTTCCGCAAGCTCCCGCTCGATCCGCTTCCGCTCCTCCTGCCGCTGCTTCTCCTCGGCGGCCGCCCTCCGCTCCTCCTCCGCCCGGGGTTTCAGGTAACCTGCGGGCGCAGCGGGGAGGCGCGGAGGCGCGGAGGCGCTCGGTTTCTTCGCCGAAACGCCGCGCGGAGGGAAACGGTCCACGCGAGGCCTGGAGGCGCCCGAGAGCCCGACCCTGCGCTCCCCACGCGGCCGCGCCCCCGCCCCGCCCCGCCCCCCACGCACCCACTTGTCCCGAGAACCAGGGGTCCCGCCCTCGGGGTCCCCGCCCGCGCGCCCGCGCTCACTCACTGTAGCGCTTGGCTCCGTACGCCATGCCGAGGACCAGGGCGGAGTAGCGGCCGAGCTGCGGGGGACGGCGGTCAGGGCGGTCAGGGCGGCGGGGGCGGGGGGGCGGGGGCCGGGGCCGGGGTCCCGGGGGGGAGGGGGGAGGGGGAGGGGCCGGGCCCGGGGCTCCCACCCCACCGAGGTCGCGCACGCGGGGCCCCACGGGGCCGAGCGCCCGCCGACGGCCGCAGAGCCCGGTTCACCTTGATGAGCGGGGAGACCTGCACCGGCGGCACCATCTTGTCCGTGACCCTCACGCCGGAAGCACAACCGCCGCCGCCGGAAGCGCCGCGGTGACGTGGAGGCGTAGCGAGGGCCGCGGGCGCCGTGCGCGGGCGCCTGGCGACCAGTACGCATGCGCGACCGCGGGGTGGGGGCGGGGCGGCCCTGCGGGGTGCACGAGCCTCCCGCCGTCCGCCGGGCTCAGCGCGGGAGGAGCCCGCCCGCCGGGCCCGAGGGTTTGCCGAGCGCGTGAGGCTCAGCAAGCACACGGGCCCCCGCGCCCTGGCTGCGGGCTCTGCGGCCCGGGGCCCCCGCGCCGGGGAGGCAGCCCCCACCACGCCCCGCCCCAGGTCGCCCGCCCGCAGCGGCCGCAACGGGCTTCCAGGCTGGGCTGGGAACCCAGGTGTGAGCGGAGCGCGCCCCGTGGGGAGCGGCTGCCCTGCCCGGGGCGGGGTCTTCCCGGGAGGAGCAGCCTGGCCGGCCGAGGGCCCCAGCAGCCCCGCGGTCTCCCCCTTCTGCCCCTCCGGGGGGACGCGGGGGGCCTCTCCTTTGAGTCGCTCCACCCTCGGAGCCTCTGCGCTCGCCCTGTGACGTCATGCAGAGGGGGTGACGTCGCCAGGTGAGCTGCAGGGGTGACGTCACGACCAGGTGAGCCTGCGGGGGTGACGTCACGACCAGGTGAGCCGCAGGGGTGCAGGGGGTGACGTCACGACCAGGTGAGCTGCAGGGGGTGACGTCACGACCAGGTGAGCTGCAGGGGTGACGTCACGACCAGGTGAGCGCAGGGGTGCAGGGGGGTGACGTCACGACCAGGTGAGCCGCAGGGGTGCAGAGGGGGGTGACGTCACGACCAGGTGAGCTGCAGGGGGTGACGTCACGACCAGGTGAGCCGCAGGGGTGCAGGGGGTGACGTCACGACCAGGTGAGCCGCAGGGGTGCAGAGGGGGTGACGTCACGACCAGGTGAGCCGCAGGGGTGACGTCACTACCAGGTGAGCTGCAGGGGTGCAGGGGGTGACGTCACGACCAGGTGAGCTGCAGGGGTGCAGGGGATGACGTCACGGCCAGGTGAGCCGCAGGGGTGCAGAGGGGGTGACATCACGACCAGGTGAGCTGCAGGGGTGACGTCACGACCAGGTGAGCCGCAGGGGTGCAGGGGGTGACGTCACGACCAGGTGAGCCGCGGGGGTGCAGAGGGGGTGACGTCACGACCAGGTGAGCTGCAGGGGTGACGTCACGACCAGGTGAGCCGCAGGGGTGCAGAGGGGGTGATGTCACGACCAGGTGAGCCGCGGGGGTGCAGGGGGTGACGTCACGACCAGGTGAGCCGCAGGGGTGCAGGGGGTGACGTCACGACCAGGTGAGCCGCAGGGGTGCAGGGGGTGACGTCACGACCAGGTGAGCTGCAGGGGTGCAGAGGGGGTTCCCTACATGGCAGGTGGCAGTGGGCGAGCAGCTCCCAGGGGCGCCGTGTGCTGGCTGTGGGGACACATGGCTCCCCAGGCAGCCAGGTGGGGGGCGCCAGCAGGAGGAGCTCTCTGCCGGGCCCTGCACTGCTCCAGGCCAAAGCCCTGGGAACTGGAGCTTGAGGCTCTCTGGGGTCCCCAATACACCAGACGGGAGCCCACTTTTCCCGACTCTCCCAAGCCCTCCTGCTTCCAGAGAGAACTCAGCTGAGTCCGAAGAGCGGAGACGGACGCTCCGGGCCGAGGCGCAGCCGCTCCGGGTGCTCGCAGGGCGGCGTGGCCACCTCCGGCTCCTGGGCTCAGCCTGCCCGCGGCCCCGCGGTCCTCTCCACCTCTGCCCCGGGGCTGCAGGATCACGGCGGGTTCCCGGGGCGGGAGCCAGCTCGGTCCTGCAGGGCCCTGCCCGGGCTCTCTGGGGACCCTGCCGGATGCCTCTGCCAGGCCAGGGTGGGGCGACGCCTGCCCAACAGCCTCCGTGCCCCCCGAGGAAGCTGTCCGTGCACCTTGACCCCACAAGGCCGAACTAAGCCTCTTCCAGCTGCGCGCCTTGTGGGATGCTGAGCGCGTCCCCACCCCGCCCGGGTCTTGCCCTCGGGCAGCCGAGCTGATGAGCTCAGGTGGCAAACACGTTTTCCCTTCTCTGGATGTTAAAATAAACAAGGCTTCTCAGCAACTCCTGCTTCCAGAATTAAAAATAAGTGTCTCTGGGGCTGAAGGTGAGGCCAGGGTGCTGGTGGGGGACCACCCATCAGTAGCTTCCAGGGGGGTGGGGTGGGCGGTGGGGACACCACGCACACACGCCCACACGCACGTGGCTGCCGAGGGGGACCCCTGAAGCTAGGGGAGACTCACTTTGGGCCCGGGCCCCTCCTTAGGGCCTGGGGGTTCCCACCTGGCTCAGGACACTGGAGCCGCCTGCTGACGCCTCTGCACCTGTCGGGCCAGCTGTCCTGCTGAATCCTGATCTGCCCCCGGGCGGCTCCTCGGCTGGCTATCTTTAGTGCGGCCAGCCCGGGAGACCTCCCCAGGGGCTCTGCCGGTGTCCGGCGGCCTCCCCACATCAGGGGCCTCCTGAGCACCTTCCCTTCTCCGTGGGGGGCCCGCTCCTGCAGTCCCACTAGGCTCGCTCTGAGCATCACAGTCAGACCCGCTCGACTGGGAGTGCAGCCCAGCCCAGGTCCCCCACGTTACTTGAGTGTTTTCCCTCTGGGAGTCCCCAGGTCCCCTGGCAAGTCATGCCCCCCAAGATCTGGGGTGATCTCTAAGCCTGACACCACCCCACAGGCACCTGGGCCAGGTCCCCTCCCCAGACTGCCTCCTGGGCCGTGATGCAGCGGGGAAACCTGGCTGGAGGCTGGCGCAGGGCTCGGCCCATCCCGAGGCACTCCACCCCAGAAACGTCCCCGCTCTGCCAGGGGGACGGGGCCCTGGGCCTCTCCTGCCACTGAAGCGGGGAGGCGAGGGCGTACACAACATGCCGGGGGGGATGCTTGGTCACCAGCCACTCACAGGGACTTTGGGCAAATCTAGGAGAGGCGCCTTCCTCTGCTCCCACAGCCGGAACAAAGGCTTCTGGGTGAGGGGTGGTGGGGAGGTGCCTGGGAAGCCGGCGCCAGGGCGGGAGGGGGGCATCTGAGTCACCCGCCGGTGCCAAAGCTCACTGTGCAGTCCCTCCAGTCCCCAGGGTGGCCCTAGGCCTGTCCTTGTAGGGAGCGGAGCCGGAGTCCGAGCAGTCCTGGGGGACCGGGCAGGAGCTTTAAGACAGGTGGCCCGAGCCCAGAGGGCGCAGAGCATCGCAGCAGGCAGGCCCGGGCATGGTGAGTGGGGCCCGCCGGGCAGCAGGCAGGAGTGTGAGCGTGCGCGTGGCTGTGCGGTCACGGTGCCGCCGACACGAGTGTTTGCCCGTGTAAGAGCGCGCGGTGGGGAAGATCTGGGCCCCGGTGACAGTCTGGGGCTGGACGGTGGAGGCTCCTGGCCTCGCACTGGACGGGTCCCCAGAACAGGCCCACCCGCTGGCCGGCCGCCTGCACACTCAGGCCCAGCTGGCTCCTGGCTGGACGGCAGGCCCCGGGCGCAGGGCTTTCGGGGCCCGGTCGGGCCGCTTCATACGCACACCTGCAGCTGGCCTCGCCCAGGGGCCCGAGTGCCAACCACACCCACCCCCTGCGTCTTCCCGAACACCTGCCTGGAGGCCCCTCAGCCTTGGTGTCCTCACATTAGGCCAGCAGGAAAACGAAGAAGAAGGAAGGGGGGGGCCTCCGGGCCCAGAGGGCATCCTCCAACGTCTTTTCCAACTTTGAGCAGACCCAGATCCAGGAGTTCAAGGAGGTGAGGCTCTGCTTTTGTCCCAGTAACTCCCGCCCAAGGGGTCCCCTGTGAGTCGTAACACAGGTGACAGAAAGACCCCGGCTGAGCCTCGCTGTGGAAGCAGCGAGAGGACAAGCCTGTGCTAACGGGGTGGCCCGCCTGGGAACCCAGTGAGCCTGGCCTCGGTTTCAGGCATTCACGCTAATGGATCAGAACCGAGATGGCTTCATTGACAAGGAGGACCTGAAGGACACCTACGCCTCCCTGGGTAGGTGCCTGGGGGCACAAGTCTGCCACAACCTCGCGGGAACACGCTCTGGCCCTACAGCCTGACCCGGCGTCCCATAGCCCGTGGGCTGGAGGAGGTGGGCTGGGCCCCCCTGGGGAGAAGTCCCTCTCCGGTGGCACAGCCCGAGCATGGGCGCCCCGGATGGGGTCGTCGGGATGAAGCTCCCGGGAGGGGCCAACACCTTAGAGGAGCCCCACGCAGGGGGGTGTCCTCCTCCCCCCGAGCACCGTAAGGAAGCCCAGAGCAGACCTGGGAGGACCGGGAGGCCGGCTCACACTCCGCTGAAGAGCCGAAGGCTGGCCCTCTTGTCCCTCACCCCCGTGTGGGGGCACGTTCTCAGGCCGAGGCCACCCCGGGGGGGGGGAGAACATGTGCGTCTCCTTCCTCTGGGCCCCCTCGCGCCCAGGTAAGCCCCGCACCTCGCCTCTTCCTCCTCCTCCCAGGGCCCAGGGTCTGGGGCTCTGCTGACAGGTCCCCCCATTGGCTCGCCTCCCCAGTGTTGTTCTGGGGTCACATCAACAACAGGGCGGCCAGGGTGGCTGTGACCCCATCTCGTGTCGGTGACAGGCAAAACCAACATCAAGGATGAGGAGCTGGACGCCATGCTCAAGGAGGCCTCGGGGCCCATCAACTTCACCATGTTCCTGAACATGTTCGGGGCGAAGCTGACAGGTGGGAGCCGCGGGGGCGGGGGTAGGGGCAGCCCTCGGGCCAGGCGGCCGAGGCACCGTGCATTTTGTTGGCTCCTGACACCATTTCACATGAAAATCCAGATTTTCAGATGTGTCAAAAAGCCCTAGAACCTGACACTCTGGTTCCCACGTCTGTGGGGCGGGTGAGCTCACCGGGCGTCCTGTAGCCTCCGTCCTTCACTCCCTGGGCCTCACGTCAGCCTCGGGCCTGGGCAGGATCCTAGGGACCCGCCAGCTGGGAGCTGCAGGTCCTCCTTCAGGCCAACCCTGGGGCCTGGGACGGGATTGGAGCCCTGAAGACCCCCTTTTGTGAGCAGGTACGGATGCCGAGGAGACCATCCTAAATGCCTTCAAGATGCTGGATCCCGACGGCAAAGGCAGCATCAACAAGGACTAGTGAGTGTGGCCCCTTTGCCAAGGGCTGCCCCCGCCCCCACCCGCCCAGGTCCAGGCCCTGGCTGCCCGCCCCAGATCCCGGTCCCTCAGGGTCACAGAGGGCAAAACAGGTCCTGCCCACAGGGCGGGGCATCCGGGCTGACCCTCAACCCTCGCTGGGTCTGTAGCTGCCTGGAGGCTCGGGAGCTGGGGGGAGTGGGTGTACCTGGTGTAGCAGGCACGTGCCTCAGTCTCCCCCGCGCCCCCCCCATGGAGCCCCCCAGGGAGGTGACCCCGAGCATGAGTCAGGAAAGACGCCCCAGTGAGTCCCGGAGCCCAGGACTCGCCCTCCGGCCAGGCTGAGAGAGGCGCCTGTTCCGTGGGGGGGCGCCGCCAGGCGAGCTGACCCCCCACCTGGGCCTCCCACCACGGGGGGCGTCCCTCTCGCGGGTCCCTCTCGCCGGGCAGCCTGATGCGGCTCCTCCCTCCTTGTCCGCAGCATCAAGAGGCTGCTGATGTCGCAGGCAGACAAGATGACTGCAGAAGAGGTCTGGCCCACACTGCCTCACCCCACTTCCTTCCCCATGGTCCTCTGTGGGCTCGGGGGGTGGGGGGCTGGGCCAGGGGACGCACCCCGGGCCCCCAGAGGCTGCGGCATGGGGCGGGCAGGGCACTGCCCCCCAGCTCCCCCAACCCCAAGCAAGAACCACACGGGAGCCGGCTGGAGTTCAGTGCCTGTAATTCGCTGGCCGCCTCGCCCCTTCCCCTCCTCCCTGGGCCTGACCCCCACCCCCACCGGCCCGCAGGTGGACCAGATGTTCCAGTTTGCCACCATCGATGCTGCGGGCAACCTGGACTACAAGGCGCTGAGCTACGTGCTCACCCACGGGGAGGAGAAGGAGGAGTGAGGGGTGTCTCCCCCATCACCCCCCAGGCTGCAGCCCGTTCAATAAACGCGAACCCACAAACCTGCCTGCCAGTGTCTGCGGGGGGGTGTTCTCCTGGGGGTGCGAGTGTTTGCTCAGGACTGGGAGAGTCTGGAGGGGAAGGGTCCGCTGGGGGCGGGAGGATCAGCAAGGACCTGCGAGGGGCCACCCCCTGCCGCCCCTGCGCCCCCTGCCGCCCCTCCCAGCCCAGCCTGATGCCCCCTGCTCAGCAGGGCAGGTTGAGAGAAGCTGGGGGCTGGGATCCCCAAGGAAGGCATGTGTCACAACTGTCCGCTCCCCTCAGTGATGCTGGGGACCCCAGGGCCCGGGATCCATCCAGTTCCCCCACAGCCCTGGCCTCTCATGCCAGCTGCCCCCCCCCCCGTCACTGCTCCTGCGCCAGCCACCCTGGGCCTGGCCTGGCCGCTGGGGCACCCGTCTGGCCAGCGGCTGCATGTCCCCCTGGCCTCGGGGCCTCCCGTAGGCCACCCCGCTGCGCTCCGCGGGTGCCTGGGCTGCTGGATGCTGGCACGTGGTGGTCAAAGCCCGCCCCTCCTGGCCTCCCCTTCACGCCCAGGACCACTTCTCGACGCACCAACTGCTCCTTTGGCTTCCGGACTCCGCAGGGACCCCGTGACCTCTCTGCGAGTCCCGGGGACTCCAGGGCCTCAGGGCTCCGCGAACAGGCGGGGGGACGGGGCCACGGCTCTAGGACTGAGCTGCCCCGAGCTTCCTATGGTCTGCACCGGAGGCCAAGGGGTGGCGTGGGGTGGCGAGCCTCGGGGAGCCTCAGGGCGTGGCCGCCGGCTGGGGCGCGTGGTCCACGTCGTCCTGGATGGAGCGGCTCACGCGGGCTTCAGCCTCCAGGCGCCGGTAGCGGGTGTGGAAGAAGAGCGTCAAGCAGCAGCTGAAGAGGGCGCAGAGGCCGGCCATCAGCAGCATGGACACTGGGGAGACACGGCCCCACTCGGCTGAGGCTTGCCCCGCGGTTGGAACTCCCCACGCAGGCCCCAGCGGAGCCACGCAGCTGGCAGGGCCCCAGCCGACCCCCGCCGTGGCCGGTGAGGGACCAGGCACGGACCTCCTCACTTGGGCCCGGGGGCTCCGGGCAGCGGAGGCACTCACCCTTCCAGTCCAGGGGGCCCCGGCCATCCCGGCAGGTGGAGGTGGACGGCTCTGCTCGCCGCACGCTCAGGGCCGTCAGCAGGACCACGACGAGCGCGCCCACAGCCTGCCTGGACAGCCACAGGCTCTTCAGCCCTGCCCCGGGCACCCCTCACCGCTCACCGCCACGGGTCTTTCGGGAGGCAGCGTCCTGCTCTGGTCGCTGTGGGCCGGGCGGCCTGCCCAGGGCTGCACACAGCTCAGAACGCGGTGGCCTTCGCCAGTGGCCTTGGGGCAGGGGCAGGTCTCAGGGTCCCCAGGGAAGCGGTGGAGGAACACTCACCCCAGCACAACCACCAGGCCTGCAGCGGCACCCTCACTCACGGGAAAGGAGCACTCGACTGCCAGCTCCATGGCAATGGGCACCACCGAGAGGCCAAAGAGCCCGAGCAATGAGCAGATGGTGGCCAGCGCGAGGGTCTGTCCCTGCAGCTGCGACACCTGGGGGGCAGGGGGCCGTACAGAGGGGCGGGGCAGGGCAGCGGTCAGCGGGACGCAGCCCTGGACACGCAGACCCAGCCAGGCCCTCCAGCATCGTCTCGGCCGCGCAGGGCAGCCAAGGCGGCGGCACCAGGGCCAGGGGGCCGCCCCGCGGGCAGTGCCAAAGGCTGGCAAGGCCTGGCTTCCTGCTGACCAGCTTCCAGCTGCCCTGCCCCAGAGCAGCCCCTCCCGCCCCCGTAGGGTGGTCTTGCTTCAGGGGGACTCACCAGGGCAAAGGCCACGCAGACCATGGAGGTCAGACAGTAGCCAATCTTGACAGCCTCGGTGAACTGTTTGGTCTGGTCCACATACAGGCTGAGAACCAGCGCCCCCAGGACCCCAAAAACGATGAAGAGGGCCCCGCAAAGGCCTGCAAACTCCTGGAGGAGAGGAGGCCGGGGCACCCCATCACCCGGTGCAGGGATGCTGGGGCCCCAGGGGAGCAGCCCGCCCGCCTTCCCTGAGAGCCCGTGGCGGGGCGGCAGGGAAGGGCCGCGGCGCGGTTAGCGGGTGAGGGACGGCCCGTCAGTACCGCCCGCAAAGGGAGGGGTACTGGGGTCCAGGGCTGGAGACCCAGGCTTGGCGGAGGTCACGGCCGCGGGCTCACGGGACAGGGGCCCGGGGAGCGGTACTCACGTTCGAGTAGCCCTTCGCGCAGAGGACCTGCTCCAGGAGGGCCAAGAAGCCGGAGAAGATGCCGATGCCACCCCCGGAGCACACGGCCAGGGTGACGTAGGCCCTGTTGTGCAGGAGCTGGGGGAGAAGCCCCGCTCAGCACAGGAGCCCGGGCACCCGGGCTAGTCCCGCCCCTTCCCTCCTCAGCCTGCGCCCGCACCCGGCCACCCGGCCACCCGGCGTGGGTCCCACCGCACTGACCAGCTTCAGCCCCTCCAGGAACCTCTCCGAGGAGCAGCGGGCGGCCCCCGCAGAGGGCGGGCTGGGGGGCACGCTGTCCCAGAGGCAGGCAGTGGCCAGGAGGCAGGCGAGGCCAGCGGGGATGATATAGATGCCCAGCTAAGGAGAGGGCACGCGTGAGGGGCTGTGTGCAAGTGTGCAAACATGTGGGCGTGCACACAGGGACCGCACCCCCGCCGCTCTGGGCACACTGCCCCCTTGCCAGGCACCCCACCGCCAGCCCTCGCAGACAAAGCTGAGCCCCAGGACCCGCTCTGCTCTCGGGAACCCTGCCTTCCGAAAGATCACCCAAGGGTGGCGCCCACGGGGAGAGCCGTAGCCCGAGCCTCTCCCAGGCCCCGGATTCGCCCAACTGCCCCCTGAGCCTTCCTGCCCGCCTTCATGAACGACCTCAGTGCTCGCCCAGCTGCACAGCTGAAGCCCCCTGCCCCTCAGAACCCCACTCCCCGACCCAACCGAGGTCCCGACTGGACCCTGCGAGCACGTCTTTGGCTCCTCAGCGTTCTGGGCCAGGTCAGACCAGTCTCCCCTCAGACACGCCCGGGTTTTCCATCCCACCAACGCCAAGCACCTGCCACCTGGGGTGATCCTCCCCCCCTTGCTCAGCAGACACGCTGGCCTGGGACCCCAGCCCCTACCCCTCAACCTCATATCCACCTCATGGCCTCCGCCAGTCCCTTGTCTCCGTCCCCAGCCCTCCCTTCAACACCTCCTCCTGTTCCAGCCAGCCCCTCACCTAACTGAGGGCCTCCCCCCAGCAAGGAAACCGACATCCTGGTCCCTACCTGGCATGAAGGCAGCCCCTGGGGACCTGCACACGTGCAAAAACCCTGTGTGCACCAAGTGCACGTGCCGGTGGGGTCACCAGCAGGGAGGGGCAGGTGCGCACTCACAGACAGCTGTAGACACACTTGTACGTCCACACGTAAGCACATACACGCCCACACGTATCACGTGCAAGCCCAGCATGCATACATACACACCACGTGAATGCACACACGTCTGAGCTCCCTCACCATCCAGGGGATGTCCTTCTCCTTCTTCACCAGGGTAGGTGACAGCAGGTTGGCCATCAGGATGCCCAAGGAGTTTGCTGGATGGGCAGATGGAGACACGTGTCCGCCCCGCCCTGGGCCAGGCCTGGTCCCCGGCCCACAGGCCGAGCCCCTGCCCTCGGAGAGCGGGGAGCACGCAAGTGCCAGGACCCATCAGCCTCAGCCCTGCCACTCACACATGGTGCCGATCATGTTGGCTGTGACGCGCTGGTGCTCCGGGAACCACAAGGCAGCCAGCTTGGCTGGAGAGAAGATGACCACGGTCTGCACCAGGGCACAGAGGCTCTGCCCACCCATGAGGAAGGCAAACGGGTCCTCGATCTTGATGGCCAGAGAGGACAGGGCTCTGAATATACTCCCAGCAAAGTTCAGCCATGCGCACGTGATGGTCTGCAGGGATGGGGTCAGAGCACTGCCTGGTCAGCCCGGACTCCCTCCCCAGCACCCTGACCTCTGCCCTGCCCCCCCAACGGCTCTGCCTGGGGATCCCCTGGGGGAGGAAGCAGTGGCTCTTGAGCCCTTACTCAAGGACCCTGCCCCATCTAAAAACCAGCCTCCTTGGCATCTGACTCACTGCCCAGCGAAGCCCAACAGAGTCCAGAACCCAGATGGCCACCACGCCGGACGGGATGGACACCACGAGGTAGATAAGCGAAAGCCAGTTGATCTGCTCAGTGGAGAGGACGAAGTGGTGGGCGATTATGTCGGCCACGGGGGCGAAGCTGAGCCACAGCTGTGGATACACACCGGTGTCAGCCCCGGGGGAAGGTGCTACAGACATCACAGCCACCTGCTGTCCTAGGCTTGGGCAGCCAGCCCAAGGGAGAGAGTGTCCGGCAGTCCCACAGGAGCCAGAGTCTCCACTAGTCACCTCCGGGGGCATGCACCAGCTAGGGGGTCAGACAGCGTGCCTGGGACTAAAGCACCACCATCCTGCCAGCGTGGTCCGAGGGGTAGGCTCTGGAGACCTGGCCAGAGCCTGCAGGACCCTCTACAGGGAGGGCCCAGAGGCAGGTGTCTGCAGGGGGAAGGGGAGCTCTGCGTGGTGAGTTGGCAGGGAGGGGCGTAGACCGGGTGCTGGACAGCACTGGGGTCCGGGCCGAAAGAAGAGGGGGTCTCGATGAGGAGAGCCGGTGGCCCTGGCACCCCATGGCATAGATGTGCAGATGGGCTGGGCAGAGGAGCCCATCTGGGGGGACGCTCGCTGTCTATGGGGAACACCCAGGTAGATAAGGGTAGGAAGCAGGGTGGGCCTGGAGCCACTGAAGTGGCAGTGGGAGGGATGTTTCCATGGCAGGGAGGGGGACAGAAAGGGGCCCAAATGGTATCCCCAGCTTGTCTACAAACTCGGCGATTGAGCCCCAGGTGAAAACACCCGGACTGTGGGCTGTCCCTGCCCAAGGCCAGCTCACCTGTCCTTCAGGAGACCCAAGTGTTTGGGAGGTAAGACCCTCCCTGACAGCATGACAGGTGACGTTTCCCAGCCTTGGGTGCTGTCAAGAGCTAGGACTCTGAACCCCACAGACCTTTAGCAAACAGTAAGTTCCATTAGGTC